AAAAAAGTGCAGTTGCGGTAAAAAAAATGTTGCTTATAACTAAATAGTGGATACGTATATCGTTTGAATGACAATAATTGTTCAAAATTCAAATATATTTCGACAAAATGAAACTAAAAACACAACTGAAATAGTTCTTAGTTTTTTACACATATGAAGAAGTAGTTCATTTTTTGCTATCATTAATGATAATACAGTATTTTTTAGTAAGAGTCAACAGATTTATACGATTTCTCAAATATATTTTTTTTCTCAGTGTTTTTCTTAGTTCGACTTGAGTTTATGTCGATGTATCCTTTTGTTGTTGATACGATATATAACGATTCAAATGGCAATACGGATTTAACTGAAAGAAATGATAGAAAATATATGAGCCTTGAGTAATTTTTGTCATTTGAGTAATATTTTTTATTTTAAATTCAGACCTTGACTTAATCGACTCATTTATTATTAAAACGACAATCAAATGGAGAAATAAATCTCATCATAAGGTAGACTATACAGAGAAAATAAATGATCACATAATATATGAAAAAGTAACTGAACAACAAGGGTGTGGGTGTTGGTGTGAGTGTGCGTATGGATGTTGAACGTGGGTGTTCATTAACAAAGGGTCTACATTCACACCCACACACTCAAACATCCATCCACATCCACACTCACCCACACCCACCCGCACACCCACCCACACACCAACCCACACCCACACCTCACACGCACACGCACACCTCACACCCACATCCACCCACACCCACATCCACACCCTAAAAAGAGAATAAGGAAGTAAAAGTCATCATCAGATTTTTAAGGATGGTAAGGGCTTCAGAAATCTATAACTCTAATTCTTTAGCACCTAGAACGCATAACGTAAGATCTTACTTAGACGTTAGAGTAAAGCATCCTCTACAAAATGAAACATCTCCGAGTTCTCTGAGACATTTTTCGGCTGTGATACAGTAATTTAATTGATAGTCAAAAAGTAACTCTTCTATAGAAAATAGTAAAAACACGATTTTAAGGGTTTCCATAAAATTCTTATATCTTAGGTACAAAACGTTGTAGACAATTCGAAGATGTTTCATTTTGTAGACAATTTTTTGCTCTATCATTCTCTGTAGTCTAAATGAAACTATATTTACGTACTCTAGACGCTGAAACATGAAGGTATTAGTTTTCTGAAGCCTCTACCTTTGAAAATCTGGTACTATTTTTTCATTATCTTATATTTTTATTGGAAACAATTTTCTCTACTCGAATCATAAAATCGAATATAAGAAATAATTTTTAATTTATATTGAATGTTACTATCGTGAAAAGAACATATAAAGACAAAGAATTCATATTATGATGTGCTTCCACAAGAAAAAAGAATAAACTAACATATTTTAGGACTAGTGAAGTCAAGTGTCTTGTTTCATCGACTTTTATTTGAATGACAGTCTATTTTTTCTGTTGTTTTTATAGGAACAGTGATATGGTTTGCACCAAAACTATGTTTTGTTCGACCAGAGAGAAGTTCCTTTCAATCTGATGTATGGACATATGGATGTATCTTGCTCGCAATCATATCACAGAAGATTCCATAGGAAGATGATTATAGCAATGATAAAGTTCTTATAAATGCATTAGCTAAACCAGAGAATGCAATTATTTTTGAAAACATTTGTCTTAGACAGAGAGCTCCGGAAAAACTACGCGCAATTCTTTGTCGCTGCTGCTCTTGGCAAAAAAGCTGATCAACCTAAATTTCCCACTATAGTTCGAGAGCTCACTGCTATCTCTGATGTAGATATTCACAATATTAATCAAGGAAAAGAAAAATCACCCAGGGCGAAGTCATCCTGTTGGATCCTATCGGATCCGAAATATTCCGACAATATCCGATAGTCGGAATCCAATCGAATTCCGACTGTTGGAAACCATCAGTATCCGTTGATTTCCGACAATTTTCGATGTCGGATTTTGCCGGATTCCGACACTAGAAACTTGTCGGATCCAATGAAATCCGATGTTAGGAAACATCTATCGATACTTTATTTTATTATTATTTTACTTATTTTATTTTTATTTTTATTTTTTTTATTCATTTATGCTTTATTTTATCTAATTGAATGTTTGTTTGAAAGCTGTACATTTCTACACCATTTGATCATTCTTCATCTAATATCATAATAATAAAATTTCCATTAAACTTGTTTAGGTATGATATGTAACAATAACATTAGTCTATATCGCCTGTAATGTGTATTCTTGTCTTCATTTTTCTTTGTTCTTTTCCTATCTATTATTCACTCTTTTTTTTCTTCTCTCTTTTAAATTTATGCTTGACTTTTACAGATATAAAAGCGTAAAAACTAGCGGCAATAGAATAAACAAGAAACATAAAAACAGAAATAGGTTCAACAAATTTTTATTTCATCAAATGTTCGAAATAGGGCGTGGGTGGGTGTGGGTATGGTGAAAAGATCAACACCCACACCCAAATGAAAATAAAATGAAGCAGTTTCCGGAACAAAGATAAGTTAATAATGAAAAAAGTATCCGAAAAATGCGCGACACAACAAGACTGTTGACAAAAGTTAATGGTTTGACTGATTGTTTGTTTTTTTTGATTTTCGAAATCTCTTAAATTGCCCTTGAAAGAAGACATTTTTTTATGTCCATGTTACCAATGGAACTATTCCTAAATTTAGAAAGAAACTTAAACAAAATGTCATCCGACAAATAAATGCTTACCTTCACGAGATCCTTTTTTAGGTAAATAGTTTTCACCATGAAGAAAATAAATTGGATATTCAACAACAAAACCTTGGATAGTTTTCAATTCTTCTTGTGCCTTAGAAAGAAAACAACATTACTTCACACACTTTACCATACCTGGTTTATTATCGACATACTCGTAATGGATCTGTATCTCTCATATATTTTGCGTCACTGTACTTTGAACTTTGAGCAAATGTTCGAATTTGATTCGTTGGTATTGTGCCAAACACTTTTTCATAAATTTCTGTGTTCTTTCGTGCTACTTGTCGAAAATAAGTGTAAAATTCATCTGATACTGGATCAGTTATATCAATATTATTTGGATTTTCAAACTGAATACCTAACAGCATTCTAGAATTCAAAATAATCTTCTATCATAATCATCATTCTTATGTGAATTTCTGTAGACAAACTCAAAAAGCTTTTTGCGCCAACTCGAACAAAATTTTCCTACACGAACTGGTTTTCCATTGAATCGACCATCTACTTCTTCACGATCCTTTATTACAATACAAAATTCACTATCGCGATCACCTAGTAATGAACGATCATTTATATTTGCACTACCGCATATCGCCATAGAATCATCAATAATCATTAATTTCGAATGAATATATATTATTTCCGTGACCTATACCCAGATAAAAAGACTTTCTTAATTGTGTGACTGATTAAAATCATTTTTCTTACCAAACGACCCATAAGTACATCGTAATTACGCATGCCAAAAAGACTAATATAATCGCTTGGTGTAATGCCTAAAGATCAAAAGTAGAAGAACATCAAATAGTATTCTTTTTCCATGAAATTTATCATTGATTTCAAGATACTAATATTCATCGAGAGACAAACTATCTCTTCATCTGCAGAACAGATTTTTGAACGAATAAGTAGAGAAATTATTATCATGCAAATATATTTCAGAGAATCTTACTGTGAAACTAAACTTTGATAAAACATAGAGAAGAAGTGAATTACTTTTCGTTTTTGAAAACATTGCTATAGATTGCATTTTTTATTCTATGAGTTTTTACTTTTATGAGTAGTGGATGATATATAAAAATTATACAGTTAGTATTTTTGAAATCTCCACTCAATTATCACTTTGGTTTTAATATCTTTTAAATCAAACAATAGTATTCGAAATTCTCTACGAAATCATGTACGATTAACCCCAAAAATTATTTGAGATACGTTTGAAAGATGAGAATAGACAAAAAACTGTAAAAAGTAACAGAATGGACAGGTAGCGTGAAGAGTTCTACAATTTGCAAGGAACAACTGATAAAAACAGAAAACAAGAATAAAAGAACTCATCTTGTACCAAAACAAATATAGTATTATCACACGGTTCAAATTTGATTACTGTAAGTTTTGACTATTTCGATAAAAGGAATGGCTGTACAATAAATGTTCTTATGTACATTGTCGAGTTCTTATCGTTTCTTTTCTTGTTATATTTTGTTTTTCTAATCGGACGAAGTAAATAATGAAAATGTAGGATGTAAAGTACGACGATTCATTACGTCCATCATGTTTTGGTTTACAGCTTTTTTCCTGTCCTCAGTTCTGAAATATATCTATAACATTTGTAGAATGTTGCCATAAATATGGTTTTCTAGAGAATTTCAAGCGCTATTGTTTGATTTAAAAGCTTTGAACCAAAGCGATAACAGAGTACAGAAGTCAAAAATGCTAACTGTATAACGCTATATACGTCACTCGTTAATTAGAATACAAACATAAAGAAAAACATTTTCAATCAAAGCTCTCTCTATATATTCTACATAAAACAAGAAAAAAAGAACTGTTGACTTACCTTCTTTCTCAAGTCGACAAAATAATGAATTACCACCTTTAGTAATCGAACGCATTATGAAAAAGAGTACAGCATGTAAAGCATTGAGACTATCAAAACCGGGGAAAAGTGGTATCACAACATAAATACGAAACTTTTCTTTCGATCTATTTAAAAAAAAAAGATTTAATTTCATACGTAAGAAAACAATTCGTACTCATGTGCTTGTTTTATACGCATAAAAAGAGCTTTAGCTAATTCATTTTTAACCAGCCTATCACCAACAATAGTAATAAAGAATTGATTCTAATTGAATAAAGAAGAATAATAATCATGAATGATAGTTTAATTTTTTTTTCTATAGATATTAATTTACTTCGATGTATATATAATGTTTAGCAGCACCAATCATTTGTATGTATGCATTTTGAATAGACTTTTCAGTTGATTTTATTCCCGATGACCACAATGAAGTAGAACGTACACACTTAATATAAAATCATAAGTGAAAATTTCCTTAAAGAATATTACTCACAAATAAATACTCACTTGAGTATCAACACAAAATGGTTCATCATCGAGAAATTCCCTCCAATTATCTACCGTTAAATCTTCGATATCACTATATGACTTTGGTAAAAGAAATGAATATGAATCATCGTTCAAATTTTTTTCGCACTTAAAAAGAAATAAAATTTGACGTTAAAAGCGGAATTTTTTTTCTCATCGAACTTTATGAATATTCCATCGTTGAATAAAATGTCTTGCAACATCACGAGCTCCTTGACCAAATACAACTAGAGCTTCATCGTGCCATGGCATACGAGGTACATGTTTTCGATCAATATTGTCTATCGATACGATCGACATAAAAATAGATGAAATCAATCAAATTACCTTCATAGGGTGCTACAGCTTTTTCAAATCCTTTTTCATAATCATTTGCATAATCTTTTCCAATGAATAATCGATGACGTCTATCATTGTCAGAAATCATAATACAAGCTACTGACTGTTGTTCGTCGAAGCTCTCGTCACTATCAGAGTCGTCGCTGTCTTGGCTTTCTGTCTAAATTAATCAACATAGAAATTTTATTATTTTCTGCATGAAGAAAGTTTTTTATCTAACAATATGTCAACTATACTTTTCACGATTTATAGGCAACGGAATAAAATTAAAACTTTTTAATGCAAGTCAAAATTGACAGAGTGAAGATTTTTTAATGATATGGAAATAAAGATACTAAAATAAATGACATGATACGAGTATTTCAATGAACTTAATTATCTTTCAAAACTTATATTTTACTGTCACCTGAGACAAAAATGACTTCTTTCAATTGTTTCTAGAAACATAGTTGAAGACAGTTTCATCGAATGTTTTTGAGAAGAAAGTTTCCTATTAGACAAATTAATTCACAAATATACAAAACTAGATAGAACTGTGTGAAAATTCTTCCATACAAATGGATCAGTTGCAAATGTAAAGAAATTAAATTTTGTTTGATTCGAAAATGAAATCTAACATTTGAAAAATTGACAGATTTTCACGAAAAACCAGAAAAGCGTTTTTATTTTAACTAAGCTGACTATAACTTGTAGAAAACGTAAGTAGTTGATGTAAGAATATTTTTAGTTCTAAAATATTACTGTAATTTGTAGAAATCATTAGATATTTGTTGCATAAAGACTACCTCGGATTTTACTATAAGTTAAAACTCGACCTGACTGGTTGACTTATTTTTCTTGTTTTATCGATAAACTAAAACTCATAATGTACGAGCCAGGGTCGATGATCCATGCTTTATCAGGAGTAATTCTAACTACAGACAATGGAGCTTTTAAAAAGTCTCTATCATAATTTATTTCGAAAACAGTATAGGCGTATGAAAATATATTTAGCAGGAAGATGCTCATCGGCTTCTCTATTTCAAAACTGGCTTTTTTAGAACATGAATTTTGCTACTTGCAGTGTTTTTTCAAATATAAATGCTTTTCGATCTCAATTAGTTTTCTGCATTTGATGTATGATGAAATTTTAGGAAGATATCATTGCTTCTCCTCCGGAAGAATCTTCATATGCTGTAAGAGATCTGGTTGTAGCCACGGGAAATATGCATCTCTAATTACAATGGTGCTTATTCAGTAATACATGACTACTGCTTCCGTTGGACATGTTGCATCTCACAATTTTCGCATAGTTGACACGGTTCTTCTATATACTGAAATAAGATGACCAGGTCAGAGAACAGTAGTTAGTGACTTTTACATTTAGATTATTTATTTTATTATTTACTTGTAAGAACTGCCGCCTTCCAGTAGCATGGCTATCTGCTCCTTGCAAATTATCTTTCCGAAGTGCAAATATAATTCCATCAGATGTTGCTGATTCATCTTCAATATTCGAAAAAAATGTGTTGTCTCCAGTATGAATTAGAACCATGGTAGACGTATTAAGCAAGCTGTGAACCGATAAAAGCAATAGACATTATGTGTCTGTGAATTGTTTTTTTTTTCGATTAATAATAGAAAAAATCGTAATTTAATCATCATTAGAGATATTAAACGAGCACTATCGATGATCTTAGATAGTGTCATGCAATATGGTAATAAGAAGAGCAACAGCATAATCATCCTCAAAAAATGTTTGAAAGATTAGTTTTATAATTATGTCAATAAGAGATCGTGCTTGATTCTTATTATTCTTATTCATTAGTGTTGTATATATTAAATATGTGGAATATGTATTCTTACCACTATCTGATGGACTATCTGCTTCATCGTCTTCGGTTCCTATATCAGTGATAATAAACTATAGGATTGTAATAAAATATATCAAAACAAAAAGATGACTTCATATTAAATTAAAAGTTCATAAAACCAACCAATCATTTGTTTTCTTTTATAAATTAGAAATACGATTAGGTTATAAATCATAATAGATAAGCAATATCATTTTGAAAGTTTTCGTGTATTATTCAATTTACTATAAATATGATATCAGGTTTAGTCTTACTTGCTGACGTTAATTGGTCCACTGGATATAAAGAAACAAAAATGAATATTACCTATTTATTCCAAAGAAAATAGATGAATGAAATTATTTACATTTGGTTGTCCATGATTTGCTATAAATTTGTGTTTCATTGGTAGAAGTTAAGTCAAGAGATTCAGTATCTTCATTGATTTGACTAAGAGAATGTAATGCTGTTTTCATACGATCACTACGCTACAATAAATTAAAAAATATACTAGTTACACAAAAATTAAAAATAGTTTTTCTCTTTCACGATATCTAAACTAACATGAATTAAATACATGCAATTCAACAGTGAGTTCATATGCATGATGCACTAATTGATCTCTTTTCATCAGATATCTATTTCATTGTTAGGTAAAGCGATTATGCGATAGAATATTTTCTATTCTTTTTCCTTTATTTGCTAATCTATAACCTGATAAGCATCATAAACAGAACATAATATCATGCGATACATGACTTCATATATGAGTTGTCTGGTAGACTCAAAAATAAAACACAAATGTTCTTCATTATATTATCACATCCAAATCCAAAAATCTTTTCATGTTATATCTAGATTTAAATACCATTCTTTTTTACAGGTTTCCTTACCGTCATAACCAATGTATGAAGTCTGTCAGCCATTTGTCTTGTAATTTGTTGTGTTGGATTCAATTCAGATGGTAAATACAATCTAGTGATATTTTCATTGCCCAAATCGACAAGACTGAAAATATTTCATAGAATTTCATAATTATCTACTATGAAAGTATAAAACTCATTAGGTCAAAAAAAAAAAAGATCTTTCTTTAATCTATGATAAATGATTCTCAATAATACATCTAACAACGTGTAATAATACTCATCGAAAGCAGTATTATTCGAATATTGGAATACAGCGCTTCACAAGAACGTACATATATTTAATTCCCTAACGAACATAAATTCTTTGACAGAAGTTTTATGCATTATAACTAAGTAGTGGTGAAGCCAAGAGGGGCGCGAGCCTCTAACTTCAGCCAGAAAATCTGACTCCGCCACGAAATACAAAGTTTCCTTTTCTTCTTATCAAACAATAGAGTGTAAAATTTAAAGTAAGATAATTACGAACCGCATATACTCATCATCCCACCGACCATAACATAAATCTATTCCACCAACAAATGCAATCTTTTGATCGATAACAACCATTTTTTCATGATGAGACCACATGATTACTCTGTTTTTGTTATGATGATCTGGATGTCGGAGGACCTTATAAAATGTGAGTATGTATATCATTCTTTACAAAGATTTAAAACTCACTTTAATAAATCCATTTTTATTTTTAGACATTAGTTTCTTCTTGGTATATAGACTACTTAAAGGTAAAACTCGTTTGAGCTCTTTAAAAACCATTACATAAACACGAACTCCTTTGGCCTACAATTTCCAAAAAACGAAAGGTTCAATTGATATCAGTCATAGAACAAATGAATTTCTTACAGCCACTGTGGCTAATAAATTATCCAGACGATATGTTTCGTCTTCTGTTGGTCGTATCATCAGAATTTCAGGCGACAACCACCAATCGGTTATAAAAACTTCTTCTTTTGCAGTTAGAAGTGCTCTAGCGACAGCTTTCATATATGATTTGCCATTGATAAACCTATAATAAATATTCGATATTCATATAAAATCATCTTGTTAATTTACCAATGAGCCCGTTGATTTTCTCGAATGGGCGCATAGGAATTAAAACGATTTGCATGTCGGCCAATAAAACCATATGGTTGTTCAATAAGCATCTTAAAATTTTGCATCCATTCTTCACATTCAAGTGATGTTCGACATTTAAGAACTATTTTACATTGTATATTTTTTATCTTAATTCTATAATAATTATCAATATGATGACGACCATGTGTCACTTCAAATTTACGATCAACTAATATTGGAAAAAGTATTTCATATGTATCAGGTTGCATATAAACTACATATGTATCCTTTATAACAAGCCATCTGCATATCAACAAAAGAAATTTTTCTTATTCCAAAGTTGTATTTGATGAAAGACTGTGTACGTACCTTTCTTCGTAATTATGTTTACCCAATTTCGTGATTAATGGTTGATCAAAGGGAGTACGACGACTCCGATTGTAATAATGGGATTGTTTTAATAGAGAACCTTCTTTTCGACTTGTTGATAGACCATCGACGAATGATAAACAACTTACATTGAAAAATGTACGCTAAAAAGTGAAAGAAACATCAATGCAACATGATTCTATGAGATAGAAGTTTCTCATAATAACAAAATATTGATATAAGTATGTTGAAACTGCTAGTAAAATTATGAATTCATACCGTTGCTGGATGTGTGCGAAATTTTGGATGTGTAACAACCTTATTGAGATAAGCAGTAAGATGATTCTATAAAGCAGAAAATGAAATCAGAATAGTAGAAAAAAGTTATTTTATAATTTACACAATCTTCATCAAGCATCTTTTGATTAACCAATGTTTTTTGACCAATTTTTCCTGGAAACCATGGATATCTATCGTCTTCATCTGGATTTCTATAAGAAATGGAGACAAATTTTCTGATCAGTAAAAAATGTATAAATGATCAAAACTAAAATTATTAGTAAATAATAATAGAACGATCGGTTTATTAGATATAAATAGAATTTATTTTACTGGAAAACATTATCTTGATCATCATTCTTTGTAGAAGAATAGGTTTTAGCAATATTAAGTGCACTAGTATAACAGAGAGAAACTTGACAAATAAGAAAGGTTCCGAAAGAATATTGAGTAGAAATCCAAAGAATTAGTGAAAAAAAATTGATAAGTTATAGGACTATTCAAGTGAATTCAGTCTTATTTGTTTTACTTTTTTTGTGAATCTTCCGTATCTTTTTCGAAGAAAATAATAACTTTTAATTTAGAGTTTTGGTGATTCTTCTCTCTCTCTCTCTCTCTCTCTCTTTTATTGCGTGCTACAGAAATGAGTGACCTTTCTTTTCTCATTAGAGATTCTAGCAATAGAATGTAAAAAAGGATCAGCTATTTAAAAATATCTCAAAGGGACTATGCTATCGAACTTGTCTTCTCTGGACAATCTAGGCTATATTCACTGCCAGTAAAGATCTGCAGTAGTAGAATAGAATCAATCAAAACAATAAATTGTTGAAAATTTCAACCCGCATCATTCACACTATGAAATATTTATTTCAACGTATCTCGTTTCTATATGTATTTATCCAATCGATGAAGAACAGCAGTGGTGGAATTAAGATTGCAGAGGGGAAGAAAGAAGCTGAACTCCTTAGTTCCTCACAGGTCTTACCACCACTGATTTCTAATATTCTGACGTACTGCTTATCTCATCTATTTTATTTATCACATACATCCTAGTCTGAGAAAAATTGCATAGGATTGACGTTGTTTTAACGGAAAAAAAAGCTGAAATTTATTATAGACAAGAAATATTTGTAAAGATGCATTTCCTGCACATAAACTGAACAAAAATAAATATAGAAAAACGTTGAGTCTTCTTGAGAAAGAATTTTTTTTCTTCGAAAAATAAAAACTAATAAGAGATAATCGAGAATTTCAAAAAAATAAACGTTTCTATGTTGTTGAATGTACTTGCATAAAACTCTTGATGTAATGAAAATTGATGCTAATCGTGCAGTGAATGAATGCAGAAAAAAAATATATAAGGTGGCTGGTTCGCTGTATTGTGTGCAACGAACTTTGTTTATAGAGAGATACATCTCAAAACAAGAGATTACTGATCATATAGTTGCTCAAGTCTCGAATGATCATCTAATGTGGCTATTCATTAAACTAGATGATCAGTATATGCATCCGATCTGTTTATCGATCACTACGTAGTTTACAATATGTTTATTATTTTTTTCTATGGAAGAGAAACAACATATAGTTTTTTTTTTAGTGAATAGAGTATGCCATACGTACGGTTGTAAAACATTTATAGATTTTTCTCGTTCTGTATTAGCGAACTGCATTAATTCATTATGCAAATCATGAAAATTTCCATAACTTTTATAAATCGACCATTGAACAGAACCATGCTTGATTGTTACACAGTATCTGCAAAGAATGAATCCTATACTTTGGAGAAAATAAATGTTTTCCAACTAAACCTACAAATATGGATCAAGTAATTGTCGAAAATCTCCATGAGAATTTTCAATCGTAATAGATATAATATGAACAGGAACTTTAGGAACAAATGCTCGTCCATTACAATGATGGATATGTTCAAGAGTAAATTTATTATCTAAACAAAAAAGATAAAGAAATGAAATCAACAGAAAAAATGCTTATCTATACAAACTTCTTAGAAATTGTTCTTCGATATCTTCATGAAAATTTTCATCAGGAAAAGGCAGCTGTTCCATATTTGCTCGATTCAAACGAGTAGTATGAAAGGCTACTTCAACCAAACCAAGTGTATGACCAGCCAGAATTTTCGTATTAAGTAATTTGTGACGACGTGCCATGTATTATTGTTCTTTTTTCTTGATGAATAGTACACTAACTATTAGCTTTGATCTAATCGTATGCAGCGAACATAAACAAATGAGAAAAGAGTAGAAAGATGAAAAATGATGTAGCTATACCTTTCTTGCTTTTAACTAATCGAACAATATCGTAAGAGATAATAGGATAAGTGTGCTCATCCAAACAACAGCTACCGAAAGAAAAAAAGAAAAAAGAAACCTGTCATATTCAGTCGATAACGAGAAAGAAAAGTGCATAGTCAAGGTCTTACGTTTGTCGAACATATTTATTATTATACAAACATTAGAGAAACAAAACATACCTATAACACGTGTCTGACATTGTCTTTTCATAATCTTCGATACAAAAAGGAAAAAAAATAAACTTTAAGACTCTTGAAGTGACCAAATTTATCTCGACATAAAAAAGTTAACTTCTGGCAATGAAATGAAAATACTAATGTACGAGCAATATGTATATGCATTCACTAAGTATGCATATCATGCTTGCAGTTCTATTTAATACAATTTAGGACATATTTAAATACACAAAGGAAAAGAAAACTTATTAATAAAAATTTCCCTGTGTCATTTTGCATTACTACAAGTATGTCTATGTGTCTGTGTTTTTTTTTACAACTTTATTGACACTGAAGCGGGTTATAACATTCCGATTGGATATTATTTTCGTTGTAGCACGACTGTGACCATCGGATATAGGCGCTGTTTTTTGCTTCATGATCAACGGACAAATATATTTATTCGATATGTATTCTACAGGGATAAAAACATTAAAGTTTAGTGCAGTTACTACAGATTTTTGGAAAACTATACATTTATTTGTTATTCGTGTAAAGAGATGAAGTGTAATATATAATCATACGGTACGATCTGATCAAACAAGTATCTTTATCAGATGTTTTATTGTGAAATTCTACCCGATTTATTGAAGTCATAAAATGTATATTTTTAGAGAATGTGGATTTGGACAGATAAAACATCCATATCCATCTTCAAAAAGATAAAAGCTGAATGATAATAATCCATAGAAATTATCAACGCCAGTTAAATTTGATGTTATCAAATCTATTCTTTCTCAGAAACCATGTGCATTGATTGTCCGTTGAAATTCAAAACAATAAATAAGTATTCTCAGCCTAAACTTTCTAGAAATCGAACGATTTCATATTATCTCAGTACTAGGAAACCCGACTGTTAACTCTCTTAAACAAGTTAAGTTATTCGCAGAATTCATTTTTTTACCGTTCATCCATCGATAATCGAAGCTCTACATTGGTTTCTTTTTCTAATTGATAGGAGTTTACTGTAAAATGCCCGGCTCATCCGATAATGATACTTCACATGAATAGCTAATATCACACGGAAACCTTACCAGTATTTAAACTTTTTAATACTTTTGTAATCATTTTCCGTCGATATTATTTGATTACATCAGCAAAAGTGAGATCTTTCTCCTTGAAAGTGCGTTCAGAGATATGACTTTTCTGTCCTGTATCTTTACTCCGTAAGTTCATTCGATTAACAACCCTTCATCATTCACAGATCGATCACGATACAGTAACTTTATTTATTTTGTTCGATGCATACCATGTTTCTGTAATGTTTCAGATACTTGCAAATGTAGAATAATCATCATCAGACATATTTATGTTAACAATAGAGAAAAATCTAAACTGGATTGTAAAAGATTATTGTACTGAAAAGTTAATATGGAATATTGGTATCTATATGATAGTCTAAGTAGCTTGTAATTAGAAATTTTATGTTAAGTTTATAACTTTCATAACAGATGATTTGGAAATTTTCTACATAAGAATAAATTTACAGTTATATTTGTATTACATACTTATTGAACTATGAAAATACTCTATGATTAACTAAAATCAAGTCTATATCAGTATACAATAAATAAAATGTAGGCTACATGTAAAATGACATGATTTTAAGAAAAAAGCATCAGAGTTTTCGAAGAGACCATAAAAATGTATTCCATTTACAACTCGTAACTGGCTTCTTCAAGTTAATTGAATTGCAGCAGAGTGAAAAGTCTTGCAGCACGAAAAATTCAGGAGACAAAAAGAATTACACCATTCTACAAGTATGGATGCAAGTAAGATCTTAGAGAGTGACGAGTATAGGTGCTTTATACATGTGAATATGTGTTTTTCCGCATCAGTGAAATCATTATTCATGTTGTACAAATTCTGTTATTGCTTCGATAAAAAAATATTGGACATCTAAAAACATTATGTTGGTAATGTTTGAACTGATTAGGAAAAAATTGCTCTGTCGATAATTGAAGTATACAAACACAGATTGTCTCGTCGAATACATTTCAAGGTCTTAAACATCAGAAAAGGATACTGCGAGATTTTATCGCAAATTTCCCACCTCTCAGTTTTCATTTTCAATATGACAGAACGATAGAGCTTGAAATTCTATACCTCTCTGTGTATTTAATTTTGTTTTCTATTGAACATTAAAAAAATTTTTTCAACACCACTTTGTCTTCGGGGTCTACACGTCTTTCGTAGATTTCCAGTGTTTCGGCTGATAACTGTAATGGCTATAATTTTTTTTTCTATTTAATTTCAATGTCAAAATTAATAACATAGATCGATGTAGTTTTTCACGCTTTACAAAACTACATATTACTCATATTTCTTAAAAGCTTTTTTCTCGAGTTATATAGGGTTAGAATTGGATTAGATTGAGTGAAAAGTACTGTTTACGTGCATTATGGATGATTTTTCATATTTTTGCAGGATGCTTTTTGACTAGAAAATGAAGTTAGACATACATCTCTTTATGATCGAAAATTGTGCCGTCTCACGCTCTACAAATCTATATAGTTTAAAAAAAAAAATTTATTCTGTCCTAAGGTTCATTTTTATTGATACATTGTAAGAAGATGATCACTTTCATAGGGAATCTTAATCTAATATCAAGTTCAGAGCGACATGAATGTCTTATTCAGAATCAGCACAAAAAACTACGATATATTATACACATTTCAGCAAAAAAAATGCTTTACGAAAAAAGCTTATGTGAGTGATGAGAAATTAATACCCATCCACACCCTAAGTTTTTCATTTTTGTTTAAAACTGAATTTTGAATAATTTGAATTGACTTAAGTTTTAGCGAGTTGAATAGGGTGATTTGTTTCTTTAAAAATCTATTGAAGTTTAGAGAATTGTCGAGTTGGGGTGTGGTTGTTGTCGAAAAAGGAATACACGCTCACACTCACCCAAAGTTTAGCTCACAGATGCCAGGATATCGAGTATATCACTATTAATCGCTAAATTTAGAAGTTAGGATCGAGCTTGTGAATGCTGAAAAGCAAAGTGAACATAGAATGTAAACTAAACATTGCAAGGTTCTTGGCTACTTTCTCACAATGGTTGGCTTTTGCTGTTAAAAACACTGTATACTATCTCTATACTTTCTTACGTTCCGTTCCTTGACTGCTTTGCGACAGTTGAATCAGTAAAACTAACAACCCTCATAATGTCGTTAGTAGACAATATGAAAAAAATTAAAAAAGAAAAAACAACGGTCACAATGAAAATAAAATATTCTTCTGTAATTTGACGTCTATTTATAATGTGCCTTATACTAGTTCACATGTTCAAAAAGAAAGTTTAAGAGAAGTAGAAAGATGTCATACAGTTTCAAATTATTTCAAAAAAGAGTAAAAGATACAACAATTCACATCAATACAAACATTTTCAGAGAATGAAGGGTTCACGTTTTTACAAATATTGAATACATAGTAATGCAGAGACATCTATCTATATGTATTTTGCTATCTTCAGTACCATTACTCAAGAACTATATAAAAAAAGCTGTTAGCGCAATCCCTTGTGGCATTAAAACTGTGAAACACGATGGATCTGTTGTTACTAGTTAAATGGAAATCATTTTGTCCCATTTCTTTGCGATACATTTGTAGCTAACCGTTTATCTAATGCTTTAGAAATAGTTTCTCTGTCACGGTCTGTGGGGGGGATGCAAATTCCTACCCCTAAACACTTCAACACTCCTTTCTGATTATGTTTCACAAAATAAAATATATTATATAACAAGATTGTAACGTATGCCTCGTTTTCCCGTATAATGATTTTTTAATGAGGTCAATTCTACGGTGATCTGAATCAGTGCATTAGTGGATTCCTTTTCAAAATGATGAAATGAGTCATTCATATCAGTTTGTAGATCGCTTCTATTTAATGTTGAACTACGTAGTGAGCAACACACATGATATATTAAATAATAAAAATATTTGAAAGAAAATAGTTATATTTTTTTGCAATATTTTTTTTAGTTATTGTTATTTTTTAGTTGATAATTTTTTTTCAGCCAAAAATGGTAAATCTAATATTATTGATTTACTTTTTGCATTAGATCGAAAAGAAATATGTCATGATGATGGAAAAGTCATCTTCGAATAATTCAACAGAGAAAAAGCAAGAATCAACAATAGCGTTAAATGAATGCAAAATTTGTGGCTGCGTGGCTAAATATTCGTATTTTGGTGCCATTTCGTGTGATGCATGCAAAATATTTTTCCAACGCAATGCTGAGCGAAGACCGGTCAATTAAAAAAATATTTTTTTTTCTTTCAACTATATTCATTCGTTTTGTTTGCTCCTTTTAGGGCACATTCAAATGCGATTTTGGTGGCAATTGTGAAATAAATATAAATACTCGTCATGTATGTTCTTATTGTCGACTTGTAAAAAGTTTTGCCAGTGGAATGAGAACTGAAATGATTCGATCATCTATTACAAAAAAGAATAAAAAAGTCGACAAAGAAAATTAATCATGGATACAGCACAAACAAAAACATTAACAACTTTAGTTAGATTAAATCAACCTGAACAGGTGAGACTATTTGATTATTAGAACTAAATATATTATCATTGTCAATATGGATTAAATCTTAAAAACTGAATTATTATTTTTCTCGCTTATTTACAAGAAGAAAAAATGACAATCAACTGGTAATGTAAAAGTTCCCGAAAAAATGTCGCTTCATTGTTCATCAGATATAATATATCCTTGAACAGTTAAAATCACCTATTCAAGATCCGTGTTGAAAGCTCTTTCCAACTGTATGTTCAGTAGTATTTTTTTTGTTCTTTTCTTCGTTGCATTCACCGTTTAATGCTTCAGAAACTTCTTACTAAATAATACAAGATTGCTTTCTATAGCATGATGAAAAAACCAAAACAACGAGGAGACATAAGACATTAGTAAAATTTGGATATGAAAACATATGAAATGATGACGGTGAGAATTCCAGAACACTACCGATATAAATATGTCAAAGTCTTTGTGTCACAAACCTATACAAAGAACGAACACGAACATCGAACAAAACAACAATATCATCAATCTGGTAAATAGGTTGAGCTGTGCGGTTAGCTTTTCTCAGTATTATCTGAAACAATGCCATAATAAATTTTGCATGATATGTCAATAATTGCATGAGGAATTTAATAATAGAAAAAAAGATCAACACTATCCAAGAGAATGGACACGATAAAGTCAAAAAACATTTTACGGCAACCATTTTGCCTTTTTTTGACAGAACACATGTTAGTGCTGACTCTGGAAAATTTTGAAATTTTGAGTACAGAGCGATCAGAATGAGAAGAGTAACAATTGTCATAGAGTCAATATTTTGAAAACTGTGGGGTGTGGGTGTTGGTGTGGGGTGAGGCTGTGAGCGTAAAGGTTCCTTTAATTCTCACACACACCCACACACCCACACCTATGCGTCAACTGTAAACGGCCAATCACTCATCTGTAAATATTGCATTCGGAATGTAAATAAATGAAAGCTATTTGACGGCAAATGCTACAGTACTGCTGATTTTTCTTTTCTTTCTTGGTGAAATCACTTAAAAGTGCCAATACATTCACTAACGATAAAAAGGAATTGCTCATAGGGTCAACACAAATGTGTTTTCTTTTCTTCATCATGATCATGCAAGAACGACACATTTTCTGTGACTTAAATACTTCAACACACTTCTCCAACTAATAATGCCTATTTTTTTGCGTTGTTGCACCCTTGGATTTGTTTATGATAGGAAGTCAGGCTCGCATCCAATGCCTGTTTTGCTCACGAACAATTCATTTTAGACTATTTTAAAAGGAAATAGAAAATCACAACGATTTTTCGAAGGCGTCTATAAGTCATCAGAGTCATGACTACAGAAAATTGTTTGTACTATTTAGAGTTTACATGTAATAATACGTTCTTTTCTTTTTTTTTTATTCATTTCAAAAATAATCAGACAGTTGGACAAAAAACCAAAGTAAGCAACGATCTACTTAGTCTCCTTATATGTAGAAAGAGCTCATTGGTTCTTAGATACCAGAAAAATAGTCTAGTCTTCGAATCTGAATCATAGTTACAATAATTCTTAGTAATAAAAAACATTGTGAACTTATTCTGAAAGAGCAAATGACAAAATCACTACTGCAGGTCACCTAGTCTCAAAGGAAATCATATTATCAATCTAATTAGATGTGAACAAAATAATAGTATTCATCTATTTGATAATGAGATGGATCATAAGAATAGAGTAAAAATGAACTTCTTGTTCAACTATTAGAGTCGTATCCTGTATAGCTTTTGCTTGTATTCCAGTATGCTTTGAGATTCTATATAAGTGCACTCAACTCCAGATAGGAGAGTAATTAATATAATATTGAGCTTATAAAAACGAACATGCTAAAAAAAAATTGTATCTAATTATAATATTTTTTTTTTTCGTCTTATTTAACTACTATTCGTGTTTCCTTTATAATAGAACCTCATACCAGTATTGATATGGCAACAGAGACTACTGAAGAAGAACGAGATGACCTTTTGGAGAACGTTATTAAATGCGCAATATGTTTAGACTATTATGGTGATCCTCGTCTGTTGCCTTGTTCGCATACATTTTGTTTGAAATGTATTAAACAAACAGCCAAGAATAATCATGGGTCATTTCCATGCCCTTTTCGTGATGGTACAACAATCCAAAATACTGATATTGATACATTACCAAGTAATCGGGTTGTTCGCGACATAGTCGAAATAGTATCGAAAAGTAAAGGTAAGACAACATAATTTGCATATTACAGTAGAATCGAAACAAAATAGAAAGATTCAAATAGGATTTCCTAATATGAAGATTTCCTCCACTCTTCGTTTATGACAATAATCAGAATTTTAGCAGTAACTAAAATTCATAGAATCATTGTTATTTTCATGACTTTTTTCAAAAATACAATTCGAATCATCCTTCTCATGTTCCCGTTCTTCATAGTAGATCAGTCTAGCAATTGATGTACACGTATTCTCTGATTCATATTCGTAGCTTTATTCGTTTTTACGCTAGTTATTATTCAGTGCTATGAATGTGAAACACAAGTTGCTGAAGTTTGGTGTAGAGATTGCCATAATAATGGCTTCTGCTCAAAATGCTATGGGGATCTTCATAAAAAACGCACATTAAAAGATCACAGACCAGGTGAACCAAGACCTCCTAAAATTTATCATTGTTCGGATCATCCGGAACGAGAATTAGAATACTGGTGTCCAGAAAATGACAAAATTTACTGTTCAAACTGCTTAGCTGACAAGAAAGATACTCACAAATGTGAATTGATTACTGATGGTATCAAAAATATAGCTGATAGAGTAAGTCTATAATTGATTCTTCCTGTTTAGTGAATCAGTTGAATTGTTTACATTAAGATGAGAAAAGCTTACATTATGCATCCACTTTCAATCAATCCGAAGACCGAAATAGACAAAATGTTTGGCGAATATGAAAAATGTTCAAACACGAAACGGGCAAACATTGCCGAAGTATTTGCATATATGCGTAAAACGATTGATGATTGTGAAAAATCAATGAATGAAAAATTATCCGAGGTTGACGACAAAAATAAAAGACAGATTATAGAATATGAAAGTAGAATCGTAAGCAAATGGCAAAGTTACCGAGAAAAGCGGTTGTTATTCAAACAAACTATGGATGCAGGAGACTATGTACAGGTTTTGCGAGATTACAAAAGTCACGAAGAATACTTGATTCAGATGAAACAAGAATGGTCTACGTTGAAGACTCCTACGATGGTTGAATACAACATTCAAGGACTAGATGAATGCCGAACTATATTAAAACAAGTAATCGCAAAAGTATCTGTCGTAGAACAACCACCATATGAGAATGCACAACTTGAATTATGCATTGCTCAGCAAGAAACAAATTCGATTTTAAACTTAAATAATCAAAGATTGAATGATTCTGACATGACGATTGTTGCCCAAGCACTTCGCATTAATCAGGTATGAATTAACTTTTTTCTTATGTTTTTTCCAATAGTTACTTATCATCATCGAACTGTCTTCGTCTGAATGTATCAATTATTAGATATTTTTATCAAGTAGTTCGAATTTAGAAGTTCAAAACTTGAATAGAAGATACATATACTATTTTTAACTCTAGATGATTGACTTCACTACAATTATTACAACCTAAAAAAGATTCTACCAAATAGATTCTGTAGCACATTACTTACATACTTGAATCAGATGCCTTCCTTTTACGACTGTAGTCAGGAGACAAAGTGCTCATTATTCCTTCATAAAATCAAAGTATTCGACTTCTTGTCATAATATCAGTAATTGCAGGTTGCAGATTTATTTTTGTTCGATAATGAAATGATTATTTAAGAAGCAAATCGCAACAAACTAACAGTTTGAAAATTTCACTATTTTCCATTATATCTATCAAAATTTATAGAGAAAATACCGACAATGTGTCGCAAAATGAGATTAGTAAAAACGCTTTGTCTCACTTCTGTAAAGTCATTTGATTTATTTCGAGAGTATTTAGATAAAAGATAGCTTACAAGGTAGCGTTCATCCTACGGATTCGCTGACCCTTTTCTAAAACAAAACATTAAACATTTCCAGAGAATTTTTCAACAAAAACATTTGTAATTTTAGTGTTTACATCAGATATTTTTATGAATAAATTCATAACTTATTTCTTCATCAAGATAAGTGAATAGCACCATCATTTTTATGCCTCAATCTTCGGCATCAGTGTGGATGTTTACGGGAATGCAGAGAAGACTATCATCCGTCCCTACTCATCCAACACTCCTGGCTGATACTCATCCCATTCAGCGGTTTTTTGAAAAGCTACGGTTCTCACACTTCATTCGAAAATACTTCTTAAATTTTTTTACCAATTCTGGTTCTCATTGCAATCGACAAGATCTAGACCGTAGACATTTTCCTCATGCGTTGCAACAGCCTGAAGCGTTCCTTCAGTGAATTTTCAAGAGCAGCGTCTAGTCGATTGTCGACGCCACTCCTGGTTACCCGCTGCAATTCTTTATTCTATTCAATTAAATAGATCAATTTCTTCGAATTATACCGATACCCTTTCCAACTTCGCTTAGTTCGAAAGTCATTACATTCATAACACGAGCATTCTCAATGAGAAATTCCAAATGGAAACTCTGTTGTAAACTATTCCTTGTGTCTTTGACACCATTGCCTAGCTAGCCAATCAGAGTTTCATTGACATTCCTCATCAAAGGAATCTTAGTGCAGTATCTAAAAAACTTTAGCCTTAATATAGATCTTTTCTGAAGCGAGTCTACAGTAAACTTGCAATAGGAGCGACTGGTGCACCGCTGGGGCGCTAATCACGGTTAGTGGTTCCATGATTTGAAACCGCTTCGACAATAGATGGTTGTTTCCTATTAACCATGAAGATGTGATCT